GGAGCTGAAAGCCATGGTGCTGCAGCTGCGGGAGACCGTCCTGCAGCAGAAGGAGACCATCGGGAGCCAGCGGGAGGCCATCCGGGAGCTCACCGGCAAGCTGAGCCGCTGCGAAGGCGCCGACGGCAAGTCTGCCACGGGGACGTGGAAGAAGGAGCTGGGCAAGGGCAAGGACACCATGGGTGACCTGCCGCGGGACCCGGCGCAGGTCATCGACCAGCTGAGCCGCACCATGCAGACCCTGAAAGACCGGCTGGAGAGCCTGGAGGGAGGGCCAGGGCTCAGGGGGGGCCAGCCTCCCTGCCCACCCAGGTGGGCCAGCCTCCCTGCCCACCCGTGTAGAAACTTGGAACGACTTAACGTATAACAGTGGCTTTGGACCGCTGGGTGGACACAACCAGTGCGCTTAATCTTTATGGAGATAAATCCAAACTGGCCGAGCCCTGGGAGTGAGTAGCTTGGTTGGCTTGTCTTGTTTTCTTGATTATTTATCTCCTCACTTTAATGGTAAAAAACCTGAAGGGTTCCTCTGTGAATATGTTCTTCCAGGGGTGGGGGGAGATTATGGTTTTCCTGCTTGTCACCAGCTTAGTTTCTGTATTAGTATGTCTAAATCTCTCTTTCTGGGAATGTGACTTCATGGGGTTTGAGGTACAAAGCTGATGTCTTGGGCAGTAAGACCTAGGCATATGGTGCTGAACAGACCAGTGGTAGTAAGGAGATTGTGGGCAGATTGTGAAGATAAGATGATGTATTTAGAGCTGACATAGAATAAAAAGAACCTGATTCTGTATGCCTGTGAATAGGAAGGGGATTTGGTCCAAGCCCACCAATAAGTGATTTCTGTGAGCCTTTGGACAGTGCCCATGGTTGAGTGGCACATATGGAAATATTTGGTAGAGAGTATTCCCACAGGAGTCATGCTGGATGTTGTGTTTTGTTTTCCAAAAAACACCCTGAGAGCTATATGCGTGTCCTGCTGTCCTCCAAACAGTCAGTGATGCTGTGAGGATGGCGAGTAACTTCCTAAAGGTTATTCTGTGAGGTCTAAACACTCTGGACTGCTTTTCAAGTACAATTTTGAATGATCTGGTAGTGTAACATCCTTTTATTACTGTTACTGTCTTTTTGAGGCATTATTTTAGGGTTGTAGAAGAGAAACTCCACTAGAATAATATGGTAGGTGGAACCGTTGGTTTCTTAGTATCCTTAAAGATACCAGTGTTATTTGAGAGAGTGTGGGGGTTTTTTTTTGCAGTTTAAATAAAAATACTTTCACTGGCTAATACTTACAGTTGATCTAAAGAGCATCTGATTTTTTTACTCTGCAAATCAAAACTGAGGAAACTTTCATTTGGTAAATTTGCTTTCGAAGTAGCTTAATTTTTTATTTAAAAAGAAATAATTGTTTTTCTGTTTACTTAAGTTGGCAATGTCACTTGCAGTAAGTAAAGCAAAAATTGACTGATGTGCCACATATACCCATACTAATGAAACTGCATCAGACCTGGCTTCCTACATTGATTTTATTGAACTTAAATGTATGAAGACTCCTTCAGATGAAACACTGGAAGCCCCTAACAAAAGTGCCCTTTTCTTTCAGGACCTCTTTTGCTACAGTGCTGATAAAAGCACTGAACATGACAAGTGCTAAAAAGCAATGCCTCTTTCGTACTGTCGTGGTTTAACCCCAGCTGGCAACTAAGCACCACCCAGCCGCTTGCTCACTCCCCCCTAGTGGGATGGGGGAGAGAATCGGAAGGGTAGAAATGAGAAAACTCGTGGGTTGAGATAAAGACAGTTTAATAGGTAAAGCAAAGCAGCGCATGCAAGCAAAGCAAACCAAGGAATTCATCCACTACTTCCCATCGGCAGGCAGGTGTTCAGCCATCTCCAGGAGAGCTCCATCACACGTAACGGTTACTTGGGAAGACAAAATGCCATGACTCCTAATGTCCCCCCCTTCCTTCTTCTTCCCCCAGCTTTATATGCTGAGCATGACGTCATATGGTATGGAATACCCCTTTGGTCAGTTGGGGTCAGCTGTCCTGGCTGTGTCCCCTCCCAACTTCTTGTGCACCCCCAGCCTGCTCGCTGGTGGGGTGGGGTGAGGAGCAGAAAAGGCCTTGACCCTGTGTAAGCACTGCTCAGCAGTGACAAAAACATCCCTGTATTATCAACACTGTTTTCAGCACAAATCCAAAACATAGCCCCACACTAGCTACTATGAAGAAAATTAACTCTACCCCAGCGAAAACCAGCACATGTACTTGCTGGAGAACTTGGTGATCTTGCTTTCTTCCCTTTGAATCAGGAGCATATCTGCATTTCACAGTTTCTGTTTTAGAAATGACAATTTTTTTTTTCTTCTCATTTCCCCTAAAGCATCAACTCCGAGCCAATGTGTCATATGCAGCACTGCCTAATGACCTTCGAGAGATGCTTCAACGGAGGCTTGCAGACCTGGAACGCCAACTCCTGAGCAAAGTGGCCGAGCTTGAGGATGAAAAGTCTTTGCTTCATAATGAGACGTCAGCCCATCGGCAGAAGACAGAGACAGCCTTGAATGCATTGCTAGAAAGAGAGGTAATCTGCACAGAATCTAAATGCTTCCCCATGCTGATTAATTTTGTTTACTCCCTCCTTCTAGTGCAGTAGTCTAAATGTGGGCCTTGAGGGGAAGATAGTTAAGATGCTGGACTAAATAGTAGGTGACAGTGCAAATACTTGGATTGCCTTTTTCCTTTTGTCACAGGCTTCCCACTTGACAGGCCTCTGCGTGGCTTTGGCTTTGGCTTCCTGTCTTTTAATTTGGCCTATGTGGGTGGTTAGGATGAGACTCTTAGTGTTTGTGGGATGGAAAGATATATAAGGAGGCAAGTGGAAATAGGAAGAAGTATGACATTGGTGTCAGGTAAATACCTAGATAATGTCAAGTACACATCTAAGTAGAGCTGCCTTTCTTTATTGGGACTGAAAATCATATGGGCTAAATTTAATTAGCACAACTGCCTTTGATGTAATGAATGGTATTTTATACCAGAACCATTTCTTGCTGCTTTGGAAGTATTGCTGGTGGTTTCTCCTTTTGTTGCTGGTTATGCCTTTGGGTAACTGCAGATACTTGAATTGTGTCCTATCCCAAGCGGATAGCCTTCAGAATTTATGGTAGATTACACATGGTGCCACTGGGGGACGCTCTCTTAATCCTAGTCATTTATTCAGATACTTCGATTCCTTATTACTGAGATCTCTATGCTTGAGTAGTCTGTTTATCTGAATTACAAATGCCCATGGAAATGAGCTAAAGAACAGAACTATCTTTCTGTATTGGCTATATACACCAAAGAGTGGACTGTGTAGGACTAGTAAACATCACTGCCCAATCTTTAAATGATTTGCCAAGGTGAATAGGTTCTCCGCTTAAAAGCAGCTTAATGGACATGCTTTCAAAATGGTGCAAACATACATATCTCGTGAATTTTAAAATGCAGCCTAATGGATCCATTTGTGTAATATTCTATCTATTTTGTTTTTGTTTAAAAAGTGTGAAGGAGGGGAAAAGGGAAGGAGGAAGAAGAGATCTTCTGCTGGCTCTGTCATTTAGTATTTCCTGAGAGCTAAGATAAAGCCTAAACTGCAACTAAAGTTCTGGAGAATTAGTGGCCTGGTAATGTCTTGTGTGGCAAGTATTGCTAGTCCTTGTCTCTGGAAGATGTGACTCATATCAGCAAGGCATCAGAAAGAGAAAGGGAGTGGTGGGAGAACAAGCATGTGTAATTTATTTAGGTTAAAAATTAGGTAAAAAAAAAAGGTGCTAACACCTTTATTTTTTTTGTAGGGAGAGAGGGCTGTCTTATAAGTCTACAGGGAAGTGAGGAATTTGGGCCGGGAACCAAGATACAGGCTTTCTTTTAGTTGTGTAATTTGCTCTCTATTACAGTGCAGCGTAGCTGTTCTGTGCCTTTGGTTCCTCTGTCAAATCAAAGTGAGGGTAATAATGATCTAAGAACTTAATGATTTTGTAGATTAAATGCAGACGATATTTGAAGTGATCTGACCTCTTTTGAAAATACTATTTCTATTGTGCTTTTATTTTAAATGCCGCATTGTTTAGCATCTCTTCCTGACAACTGGAGTGTCATACGCTCCTTGTTGTCCTGAGACTAACTAAATGGAGGAAAAACTAACCTTATAAGGTGACACTATGAACTTTGGACTTTTTTGTCTGTTGTTGTGACAGCTGTCTTTAGTTACCAGTGGGGCAGAAGAGTTTGAAATTAGTACAACTTTTGTGATTGCAAAGTCTTCTGGTAATTCCCTCACTGGTTGTCTCCATTGACAGCAGTAGATGACACATTAAAAAGCAGGACTGGGTGGAGGAATAATCCTGCAACTAATAGTGCCTGGATTTCTAGCTATGCTGGAGACATGAACAAGTCACTTGCTATGTCTAAATCTATTTTCTCCATCTCTAAAAGGGAATAACTATTTCTTGCCCACCTTGTCCAAAAATAATTTAGATTCTTTAGTAAAAGGATTGTCTTATCCTGTGCATGTGCCCGTTGCCCAGAACAGGAGGATCTTGTTATCATTTGGACTTGTGGATGTTTTCGAGTCATGAGAACAAACTGAAAAATATAAAAAAGATGAATATTGTTTGTTTTTTTTCCAACCCATTATTGCTTTGTTAAGCTCTTTCACATAGTGACTAATGCTCTTAATGGAGTATGTTTCTTTTTTTTAATATGTGAGATTGGTTGTACCAGCCTAGTGGAGGTTGCTCAACATAAACCCTAAGATCCTGGGGGTTTTTGTGCTTAAAATTTAGAATATTTCAGTTTTTGGTCTGTAAGTTACTCAAGACAAGCATCAGACAAGCTTTTTCTCCTTCCACCCCCTCGTTCTGTGAAAAATGCAGTCAAAACACTTCAGTTGCTTCTGAGAATGGGAACTGAGAGAATGCCAACAGTTTAAAAATTACATTTGAAAATTGTGGCAACCTTTTGCGACGACAGCTCTTCATTTGGATTGGAGTGTGAAGTTTGGCAAGGGGATTGAATTTGTTTCAGGAATGTGAGTAAAGGAAATGAGTGGGACTCAGAAGAACAGGTTGCTAAAAGGTTGAGGGTGACACTCTACTACAGAACTGTGGGGTTTTATTTTGTGGCACAATGTGGGATTTCTCTCTTCTTAATATTTAATTCTAGAAAATTACTTGTAAGCACCTACATCAGAAGTATACACAAACTATATAATACAGAGTATTGCAACTTCAGAAAGTTTTGGTCTTAAGAGTTCTCAATTTCATAAACATCCCTGTGGAATATCTTGCTGGTTTTTATCACATTTTTTAGAAAAAGCAAAATAATTATTTCTGCTTTTATATTAAAACAGATGTCTAATGTTTTTGTAGTTCATAGCTTTATATTGCATTTTCTTCAGGTCACTCTGAACTTAAGCTTTATATTTTTGTTCAGATCTCCTCCTGATTTGTCTACGGGACAGAAATCAGTTCTACTAAATTTAACTCTGCTTTCTGGAATATGTCAGCTTTTTCTTATTTCAGATTGGCCATCCAAAATGAGAGCATCAACCTGTTTCTCAGCCTGCTATCTGTAAAATGGGGATGCTGCTGCTAGCTCCCTGTGTAGCAGTAGTAGGAAAAGAAATACTGTTCTTGAAGTACTGTGATGCTTTAATAATGAACATACCAGAGAATCCATGTTTAGTAACAGTAAATATCTTTTAAAACAGTTTGAATTGTTTGAAATAGGCAGGCCTCCAGCCATGAACTAAGCAATGAAGAAAGAAAATACTTAACAGCCTTTCATTAGTTGTCTGCCATCTATTCTTTTGCTCTAAATGAACAGGAAAAATAAGCTAAGTAATTAGCATGACATGTATAAAATCTTAAGTGTATTTTTTTGTGCTGCAAAATCAACATTCAGTAATACTACTTCAATATTTTTTTTTTGTGTACCTCACTAAAGTGATTAAAATTCCAAAGATTCTCAATATCAATTATATTGTTTCTTAACCTGAATTGCGAATATATTGTTTTGTTTAATGTTAAAGGTTTTTCTTCCTCAATGTAATTCTAGGTAACAGTGCATTTAAGTCACCTGATGAATTCAAAGTCTCCCTTCCTCTTCGCACAAACTACTTGTATGGGAAGATCAAGAAGACTCTACCAGAGCTGTATGCTTTTACTGTATGCTTGTGGTTGAGATCAAGTGCTTCTCCTGGAATTGGCACTCCATTCTCATATGCTGTTCCCGGCCAGGCTAATGAAATTGTCCTCATAGAATGGGGGAATAATCCAATTGAACTTCTAATTAATGATAAGGTGAGAATTGACTAACTCTTCTTTATTGTCTACATTATCAGAATAAGGCCCAAACCCTTGGTACCTCTCTAGTAACTCTTTCATTCTCTCTGAGAGAAGCCAGCTCTAGGCCTTTGAGATGGTAGTGTCTACTTGTCTGTTGTTATCCATCTGTTTGTTGCAAGTTCATAAAAGTACTTGAAACAAAGTCAAATGGTACGTATATTTGCATGTTGAGACAAAGCAGCATGACATCCAGATGTGCACACACTTATGCTTGTCCTCTAAATGTACAAGCAGATCTTGGCTTCTTGTTTTATGAAACAGAAGCAATATCTGAAGCCACGCTATTGCAAAACCTGTGAGATCTAAGCCAGTTGCAGTATTCTATCTTTCTAATCCTAGAAGTTCAGTTATGTTAAAATGAATTTGGCAGAAGGCAGAGAGCAAAAAGCATATAATTGTAGCTGATTTTGTTATGTTTAAGTGACTGATCGTCAGTTTAAATACAATTTTTTCAGACTTTAGATACAAAAAGCAACAATTGTCTTACACTACTTCACACCACTGGTGGTTTCTGACAAGCTTCAGAATGAGGCTTGAGGAAAACAAGACCCGTTGAAACTTGGCATTAAAACAGATTATAAATACTTCGTTTCTTCCTACCTTCAGTTTGGTCTAGCTATGAAATGTATATAGTTGATTGTAGCTAAGTGACTTGATTTGAATCAATATGAGCAAAACTAGATTCTTAACTTGGCTAGGCTGCAATGTAGCATAGCTTGCCTTCAGGCACCATCCCTTGTTTTTTTTGGCCTGTTAGGTTTCCTAGTAACTCGCTGCCCTCTGAGGGATCAGGTGTTTACAGATCTACAACACAACTCAGGTCGTTCAGTCATGTGGTTAGTTAAGGACTTTTAACAGTCCTGTCATCCTCCCAAATAAATAAGAGTGAAAAGCTGATTATTTTTAATGGTTTGTGGAAGAGAAGGAAACTTGAGTCTGCTTATCCTTAGCAATAACTTTTTCTCTTTAATATTATGTCAGTACTACTAATGTTCTGTGAGGCTTTTCTTTTTCGCACATCATAGCTGTTCTATAGCTCACTGCCTTTGTGTCTTTATGTTGACTTGAGTTAAGTTTTCAGATCAAATTCCTAATGGAGCATAATCCCTCCTTATTTGGAGCCCTATGTAACAGTTCCCACAAGTTTTACTGGAAGCAGGCAGATCCATTTGTCAGCGTTGTTACTGCAAATGGTACAGGCAAACACCAGATTTTAAGAGAAACTTAACATGAGTACTGGATGGAAAGTTAGGACTAAGCACTGAAATTTAAATAACAAATACCACAGATTAATATGCAGGTTCAGTGGATTGATAGCAGCTTAGACTTTGGTACTGGTGTCACTTGATTCTAGATGAAACAAAGGCTCATGTCTAGAATAAAAAGCTGTATTCCTGAATACAGGAGAGCTGGGACAAAGTAGAAAGATGTGGACTAACTTCTGCCTCTGAAGTTTTTTGCTTCTGAGGACAGAGTAAATACTGTCCCTTTTTGAACGTTGTGCTTGAACTGGTAGACTTTGTTTGCAACATGTATTATTCCTTGTTTTTTGTAGGTTGCCCAGCTCCCTCTCTTCATTAGTGATGGAAAATGGCATCATATCTGTATAACATGGACAACCAGAGATGGAATGTGGGAGGCTTTTCAGGATGGAGAGAAGCTTGGCACTGGGGAGAATCTTGCTCCTTGGCACCCAATTAAACCTGGAGGTGTCTTGATCCTGGGTCAGGAACAGGTGAGTGAATGACAGTGTGTTCCAGGGTTTAAAAAAAAAAAAATCAAAACTCCTCAAACAAACAGCAGCTGTGGGAAAATTTCTCTTTGTTAAACACTTGGTCCTCTTGTATACACAGTATCAGAAAGATTAAAACAAAGCAACAAATACTTAATGCAATCACACATTGGTATATTTTGTTTCATTTATTAAATATTCAAAATATTCATGTTGCAGCTATTCCTATTCCCACTCTTAATGCTACAGTGTGCAACTTCATCAGTGATCTGAATAATGCCTTAAATGAAATCCTTTGAGCTAGATTGCTGGTAACTAGCAATATGGCCACTGAAGTTACAGAAAAGGACAGAATTGGCCAGCGCTGTTGTATGAGCACTCAAAAAGGAGCTTGCTGAAAGCGGACCAAGTACAATTGCTTTGATTTGTTTTAATTTTTTTTAATTGAAGCCAAATTGACTGTCCCCCTTAGCAGTTTACTGGTTTTCCCCCTTCCTTTCCTCGTTGTCCCAAGAATAGTGAGAATGTTAGTCCTCAAGCCCCGGAATAGACCAAGGAAAGTGTGTGTATGGGGGTGAGGGGACCAACAACTATGCGCACTGGAGTGCTTGTGGGTATATCAGGATCTTCTATAATTTGGCCTGCTACGGAGAACTCCCTGCAGACTGAATTCTGCAGCTTTTCAGGTGTCTAACACATTTTTTAGAATAGTGGAGTCTGTCACTTATTCAGAATTTGATGTCTACTTTAAAGATGAGTCTGAAGTCAAAGGGACGAACTCTAAATCAGACATTTGGTTTCTCGTAAAAGGTGTAGATAAATAACCCTCCTAATGCAAATGCTAATGAAGTTTGAATATTAGTACTGCCAACAGAAAGCATTCATGAGGTTAAGGATAAGTCCTTTTTGAATATTGAAAAATAACAAAGGATTTTGAATCTCACTCTTCCAGTTAACATCTTGTTAAGCTATTGCCTATGAATTGTGGGGCTCTTCACGTTTTTTTCTCTACCCGTTCTTTGTATGATTATACATTTACTTAAAAAAAAAAAAAAATGGTAATGAGTAGCAGGAAATAGGCTTTCTCCAGGATTCCCAGGTTCACAATGGGGCAATGAAAAATTAGTTTTGTCCTGATACTGATTTGAGTAGATATTTATCCATGACATAAATGACAGAATGGTAAATTCAGAATCCTAATACACTCTGCATAGCAGATGCTCCAGCTCACTATTGAGTGGCTGGCAGCTTTTCTGTAACTCTCTGATGCCATTTGCCTGTACCGTGCTTGGTTCTATCCTATGCTATCAGTTTCATGTTAGTGTGATCGCACAAAATGTGCGATTTCTTTCTGTGAGTAGTGGATGGAGCAAGCAAACACTTCTAGGCTTATGCAGTATAAGTTTGAGTTAGTCATTGTGTACAACCAGAAGCAGCCTGTGTATTTGGATCCAAAGATTGCATCTTATAGGCAGTTGCAGACAATTGGTCAAGGACTGCAGTTACAGTTTAATCTATAGCCATAAAGCTTTTGGAGTAATCTTACACATCTGTGCAGTTCTTGCTGAAGTTGTCCTGTGCCAAGCTTGCAAAATGGCTCCTAAATTAGCTTCAATATTTAAAGCTGCCTCTACTCCTTGGGGGCAGCGTTAGTTATGTGTAGCCTTTGTGTGATGGTATACAGTCACTACTGTTTGCTTTGAATTGTTTTGGCACATTTCAGATTGGAGCTTTCAACTGTTCCATAGAACATCTTACTCAAAGTAGCCCTTCTAGAAACTTGAAGTTGTTCGTCTCTGTAACCTAGCTCTGCACCTTCTTCTAGCAGTGTGGCTGGGGGGGGAGGGTCTTCAAGTTTGAAGAAGAAAATGCTGAAATAACCTTCTCATCTAATGCTAACTCTTGTGTGCCTAAAGGACACAGTAGGAGGAAGATTTGATGCAACTCAAGCCTTCGTTGGGGAGATGAGCCAGTTCAATATATGGGACAGGGTCTTAAAAGCTGAAGACATCATGAATATTGCTAACTGCTCTACCAACATGCCTGGCAACATCATACCCTGGGTTGATAACAATGTTGATGTGTTTGGAGGTGCTACTAAATGGCCTGTGGAGACATGTGAAAATTTATAGCTGCAATCGTTTCCTATTCAAGTGCCCCCTTTAGTAGGACAATCTTCTGTGCAATCTAAAGCACTTATTTTTTTTCTCTGCCCTTCCCCAATCTTAACTCCTCAAAAGAATAAAAAAAATTGAGTAAACTGCCTCAGTGCAAACATAGCTGCTAGTTTGGGGCATTGAGCCTGACAATGAAAGAAGCACTTCTTGGCTAGAGCAGCCCTTGCTTTCTTATGGCCTGATCCAAAAATATGCTTTGGCCTGCAGCAGCCTTTCGGTTAGGCCCGAGTTTAGTACATCAGCTCTTCTGGCAGGGAGGGGGAACAGCCGTGCACATGTTAACTATAGTACTCCTTTTGATAATGTGCAGTGCTGACAAAGCGCTAAGATTAAGAGGATAAATGTGAATCCTTCCTTCCAGTCTATAGTCTCCCCTTTGAATTGAAGCCATTCTTTTTTAGCCCTTTTTAAAGAAATCAATTAATCCTTACACTGCAGTGGTTACGGTGCAACTATGGGTAGAGCAGAAAAGCCACTGTCTGAGTGCAAGGGTCTTGCTTTTTAATTTACAGATTAGAAATCCTTATTTTATAAGGAGGCAATGTATTTGAGACATGCTATTCTAGTTCAATTTGAAGAAAGGGCTGTGTGATCAGCATAGCTCCATTGAAATAGTGAGGCTTCAGGTAGGGTTCTGTCCCAAAGCCTGTCTTTCGCTAGCCAGGATCCCAGGGTGTATGGATGGATGAAAGATTGTATTTGTACTTTCTGTAGGCTGAATGTACTGAATTTGTAGTGACCTGGCTTGTAAACTTTTCTCTATTGTTTCTCTTGCTTTAGACAATGTCTTTATTTTTTTTAAATATACAAGCTGTGATTAAGTGGATTTCCATTTTGTTTTGCTTTGAAAGGCCTTTTTATGAGCAAGTGCCAAAGTTCAGTTTCTGCTTGCTGAGAATCGCTATATATTTTTCCAGCATAAGTCTTCTGCACTGTTTTCTATGTTATTATAATGGTCCTATGTAATATGAAAATGTGCTGGTTTTTTCAATTCTTGTTGACTGTCTCTTCTGTAAGCACTGGGCTGACGACTATATTTTTTATCATTTTCTCTCAATATTTTGCAAACAATGTTGCTATTTCCTTGGCATTGATGTGACTACTTGGTTTGTGGCTCCCAGATAGCAAATGCACTGTACTGGGGAAGAGTTAATACTTTTGTTATTTAAAAGAAAAATTATTTAAAGGGGGGAGGGGGAATTTATAAAGCTAAATATCATATTTTATTTTTCATATGTTTGAATTGTAAGAATAATATGGTGACAGTCCCATTTGTAGGATAAAGTTACATATTTCCATTAATATGTAGTATGCTGTTCTTAAAAGAAAATTCTTATAATGAACTTTTAATTAAAATGCACTGTAAAATGAGTCTTTTAATTCCTTTATGGTCACACAAGACACTGAATGTTCTCTTTCATAGCTACTATGAGTTCAGCTACTGTCTCTCTAGACTGATAGAAGTACAGTCCTGTAAGAAGTTCTCTTTATTCCCTAAATGTCTCAAATCACAATCTTCAACCAAAAGGGGCTTAGGTGTGTGTGCTTCCACATTTGGATGTGGTCGGGTGTCTGAGGCTCAGGCTGAGACCTGTCTCCTGCCACTGCGATCTCACAGGCACTGGTCTGTGGCATGGCCTGCGATGCAGCAGTTTCATTGGAGTGGGATGGGGCACAGAACATATGTTTATATTTACAATCGTGAGAAACTGAAATTATGACCCCTTCTGGGTGAAAGCACTAGTTGTAGGCAACTTAAGTGTCCCAAACTGGTGTGGAAAGCACTGCTCAACAATGAGATGACTTGTTGAAATGTGATAGCAGAGGCACTACACGAGGGGAAGTCGTAAAATGCAGTGTCCATGGGGTCTGACAGTAAACCAAACACTCTGCTTGGTAAACTAACAAGTTGATAGCGCTCTCTGTGAGAGAACCACCAGCTGGGGCAGAAATGTTTATTCAGCTCTGTCATCCTTCTCTGGCCATGGCGAGTTTGAGGTTTCTATGAAATGTTACACAACTTGATTTCAAATGTTCTCATTCTGATTGGCCTTAAAACAGACACCTCCTCCCTGCCCCCCGACCCAAAACAGTACTTTCCCTGCCCTAAGAAAAAAAACAAAACCCAAAACAACCAAAAAACCTTCAATACCCAAAGAATCTGTGTCCTAAGATCAGGGAGAATGCAAAATTCTCATCTCACATGGGCTGGAGACCAGCAGAGGCATCAGCCCCCCAGTGAATCCACCTTTCTTCATCAGCTTTTTTCAAAATAAACTGAAGGAACTGAAGTCTAGAGTTACCTGTGCTGAGGTCTGCTCTTTCAGGAAATAGCTTTTGCTCTGTTCCTGAAAGGTGCAATGGTGAAACTGTCTTGGACACTTTCCTGTATGGTTAGGAGCCTGCATGTGGACATGGTCTATTGTTTTAAACACTAATTCAGTGTTTGGATTCATTTGTTGGTTGAGGGAAGCAGAGAGTCTTTACACTTCAATTGGCCATGTTGATCTTTGTTATTTAAACACACTCCCAATCTTAGGTCTGTCTTTAGCACTGACTTTAAACACCTGAATAGGAAGCCCCACCTGCATGGGGAGGTGTTTGTGGGTGGGGGCTGTAATTGCTTTGTTTTGTGAACGGTGAGAACACCTGGTCTGGGGGCTGTTGGTAGGCTGGTGCTGGCGAGTGGCTGGCTGCTTTCTTCCTCGGGTTCTGCTTGGGCTGTGTGAAGGAGGAGTGTCACAGAACTTCTCTTCAGTGTGGAAATCAATACTAAAAGTTGGCTTTTTTTCTAAGGTATGTCAAGGTGCTCAGGTGAGAGGGTGTTTGGGGACTTTCATCCTGTTGCAACCTAACCTAGAGCTGGGATGGATCTTTTCTTCTAAGATAAACAACTTAGTCTTCTGTTTTTTCAGTTTGTTTTTTACAGATTACATAACCAAGATGGTAGGGATTTGAAGGGGGGAGGGTTTTGGGTTTTTTTTAGACACTGACTCTTTAGTAAAAGCCAAAGCTAAGGAGTATATAGTCTGTTGAAAAGGGCTTTTTTATTTTTTACTGTATATATTCTTCTTTCTTTTGTGCAATAGTACCTTTTTCATTGAAAAAGAAAAGATGTGTATTGATTTTTGTACCTTTATCTTGCAATAAAAAGCTACAGCTGCTATTCTGCTGCTCCACATTGTGGGAGTCACATGTTTTATGTGCATATATAAGCAGATGGCAAAACAGGAGTAAATATTACCATATTCCAGCATCTATACTGTTTATGGAGCATGGAAGTGACAAGACAACCTTCAGTTCCCAAACTGCTCTGAATACACAGAAGTAATAACTTACGGAAAGCTGACTGACAGCTACAGCACTTGGAACTTGCAGTAATGCAGATTTCTAGAAAATCTGTTTCTGTTTAAAAACAGACAGAGGTAGGACTCCTAAAAGCGGTATCACTGATCCTAACAAGTCAACCTCTTGGGAACTGTGAACTGGCTAGGTCTCCAGATGACTTCTTGAGTGTGAACTGTTCAGTCAGTTTCTGTATTGCACTGTTCTGTTTGTATATCCTTGATGCATTTAGTGGCTGTTGAGCAACAAAGGATCTAGCATTTGGTATGTTTAAATCCAGGTTATATTTCTTCAAAGACACTTAACGCTTTTTGACTAATTGCCTGGCCATTAGAAAATGTAGATCATATCATACGTTTGGTATTTGCTTGAAGGCTTTAGCTACACACTTGATGTCTAACTAGAGCGGAATGTTGCTGAGGGGAGGAGGATGACCTCTGTGACTCTGGGATCCCGCTGTGAACGGGAGACCGACTCCCTCATGCAGGTGACTTTTTGCTGGGCGGTGCTTGCTCATTAAGCTGTTAGTTTAGGTCTCAGAAATGCAAGGAATACCACAGAAATTCTTGCCAGTAAAGCTCTACCCTCGTTTTTACACACATTTCCCCAGTGTTCGAATACGTGAGATTGCCAGGGTGAAGCTGATTCCGTTTTGTTCCCGAGACCTGGTTTCCCTCAGGCCTTTCCTAAAGGCGAAATGCAGGCCAGTAGCGAAGCTGGTGTGTTGTATTAGGTGTTTAAAGCTGGCACTTTGTCAATCAGGGTAACTGTTGTTTTAAAAAAAATGTTTTTATAAATACAGATTAGATTTATTCCTTGTTTGCTAATGGCACCTGTCTCTATGTATAAGAATTCTTCATACAGCTGATTTCAGTTATCCAGGTTGGGAGGGAAGGGAGGGAACATCAGCCGCCTTCTACTGCATCATCCTTGGGGGGACCTGAATCTTGCTAGGGGGGCAGATACACTCAGCCTGGCTGAGGCTTTTACCATCTGTGGTAAAAAAAAAAAAAAAAAAAAAATTATTCCTACAGCCTTGTTGCCGCTGTAGGAATCTGAGGCTAGGCACAGCAAGGACCCCACTGAAACAGAGATCTGCTGATGTTGAGAGTTAGGTACTGTCAAACTCACTGCAGAAATGAAAGGTCTCTATTGGTAGCCAGGGAATCTGGGGGTTTTGAAGAAGGTGGTGTGGGATTTTTCCAGAGATCTTTCACAAAAACATCTTTCTTCCCCCCCCCGCAACCGCCCCCAAAGAAAAAGTTGGATCTTGATAATGTTCATGGTTTAGTTGTGAGGCTTAAATAATACATGAGTTTTACAGAGCTAAAAATCTTCTGGAAAGAATTAAATTAATTGCACCCCTGGCTATAGCCATTTCTAAAAGGCTGCACTTAGAAAAGTATAAATTTGCACAAGGAGTTCAAAGGTCTGTTTCTTTCTCCACAGGAGGGCTGGGCTGCCGTTTTGGCAAAGCTTCAAATACAGAAGCTCCCTGATGGCTTGATGCCACTGAGAGAGATTGTTTTATTTATTAAAGATGCTTTGGCGTTTCACCCGAGGTGGCTCCCAGCACACGTTTGTCCAAGCAGTTTAGCTCCCAGCAGTGC